AGACAGACAGACAGACAGACAGACAGACAGACAGACAGACAGACAGACAGACAGAGGAAGACGGGGGTAGGAAGAGAGAAACAGAGAAACAGAGATACAGAGAGAGATATGTAGAGAGAGATAGAGAAAGAGGGGGAGAAAGAGAGAAGGAGAAAGATGGTGTACAGTATAACAAAGCCATACACTATCAGAGATAGCTGGTTTCTACTGTTATCTACAGCCCTGTTATGTTTGATTTTCGCAGGGAGACGTTCTGGGGTCAACAAGCAGCGATAAAGTGTGGACATGGAATTACGAATCTTTCTATGTCTATAAAGGAAAGAGGGGGGAGAGCACGTTAACTTTGGACCACTATCTGGAGAACGTCATGCTTTAAGGTTTGACTGTACGTGCACATGTACAGTCTTCATACAATTGTTACGGTTTAGGGCTATATCGAAGTACATGGAGTCTTTAAAAAAAAAGATGACCCACTTAAAGGATAATAACTCGATCATCTCTACACCAATTTCAACAAAACTTGGCATACACAAAAATCACCCATGAGGTCATTAATTCGGTAAACATGAAGAAAATCAATCATAGTGTTCGAGGTATATCAAGTTTTAGAGATTTCAACCAAAATTGGGTAAAACGCAAAAGTTTACTTCTTAGATGCGTTCAGCTACAGGGCGTGATCGGCACGTTCTGGTTCCAGGGCATGGGCGGTAAAGCCACGACAGTTACATCAAACGTTATCTCACTGTACTGAGAAAGTTTTGGGGAAGCTTGGGGAGGGGGTGTTATGGTGTAGAGGCTTGGTTCCCGTAATATGAGTGAACACCCCACACGTCAAGAGTGGCCCTTGTGTAGTTGTAAGAAAGGTTTAGGGAACGCCTCATAAGCCGTAAGTTTACAAATCAATGGTCACCACATTCTCCCTAAATTGAACCCTTTCAGTTATTGTTACATTTAGGTTTTTCATCGACAGAGTCAACGGAAACAACCCACAATTAATCGAACAGTAAGAATTCAAAGTTGAAAATGACGTCCAAAGATCGATCGATCCACAGGGCTATTCAAAATTCCCACTGGCATACTGAGAAATGGTCAATATCTGGAGCTCGGAGATTTAAATATATATCCCTGTATGGGTTTATTTGGAAACTTTAATTTTGCATAAATTTGTTATTCACTGCACAAATAGGAACTAGATCTACATGTATTTGAAATGGAACAATTTGGTTGGTTTTTAAGAAGTTGCAAAGTTTAGCAGTTTCACTCAATTCTGGTCGAAATTTTAAAAACTTCATACTTGGCGCTCATATGACCTAATGCAGTTGCGAAAAAAAGTTCAAATTCTTCGAATATTTAGATTGATTTTCTTTATATTTACTGGCTTGATGTTCTCATGGTTGGGTGTTGTTGGTTCAAAGTTTTGTTGAAATTGTTCCAGAGACGACAGAGTTATTTTTTTAGGCACCCGGTAATTCAGATCATTTAGGAGGTATGTTACTTCGATCCCGCCCGTCAGGGCAAAACGAGGCAAAGTGGGATACATTTATTCATAACATCACAAACGTCCCTATTCAGTCTTCAGTCTTCTTTGTGCAGTCAATTCGCTGCTGATGTCAGTATATCATTATTATTTTTTTTATTATTAATATTATTATAATGAACAATATTATCATTATTATTATCATTATCATTACTGGTGTGTGTGGTACAGCGGTTTGAAGCTTCGCTGTCGCTCGCAAGAAACAGGAGTTCGATTCCCCAGTAGGGAGGACTTTATTAGTATCTCGTTCTTTCTGCTGGGATGTTGTATCCCTCTTAGTCGGGTTGGTCCTGGCTTTTTTGGGTCTAAGCCAGTTGTTAAGTTATCTAAATTGTGCGAATGGGGGATTAAAAATACAGTAATCATTTTTTAAATTTTATTGTTGAAGAAAACAAGCGTGTATTATAAAGAAAATAATTGGAATCGCTATATGATACAGTCCGTTATAATTATCTGAGTGTGGATATTTGGGCAAACCAAGAATTTACTTTTCCTCGTCCTGGCACTGTGGTCTGGTTTGTCTCGCTTGAGTAAATAGAAGGACGTTGACACAATAACAGCCGCGCGGGGCTGAGGTATGAGCTGGACAGGTCAGACAGAAACAACACAAGGGGAGGGGGGGGGG